TGACCATGTGTTGATATGGCCACGTGTTGATATGACCATGTGTTGATATGACCATGTGTTGATATGACCATGTGTTGATATGATCATGTGTTGATATGGCCATGTGTTGATATAGTCAGGTGTTGATAAAAGTCAGGTGTTGATATGGTCAGGTGTTGATATGGCCAGGTGTTGATATAGCCAGGAGTTGATAGGGTCAGGTATTTATAAAGCCAGTTGTTGAGACGGCCAGGTGTTGATATGGTCAGGTGTTGATATGGTCAGGTGTTCATCTGTTCAGGTGTTGATTTGGTCAGGTGTTGATATAGTCAGGTGTTGATATAGTTAGGTGTTGATATGGTTAGGTTTTGATATTGTTAGGTGTTGATATAGTAAGGTGTTGATATAGTCAGGTGTTGATATAGTCAGGTGTTGATATGGTTAGGTGCTGATATGGTCAGGTGTTGATATGGCCAGGTGTTGATAAAAGTCAGGTGTTGATATGGTCAGTTGTTGATATGGCCAGGTGTTGATATAGCCAGGTGTTGATATAGTCAGGTGTTGATATGGTTAGGTTTTGATATGGTCAGGTGTTGATATGGCCACGTGTTGATATGGCCACGTGTTGATATGACCATGTGTTGATATAGCCAGGTGTTGATATGGTCAGGTGTTGATATAGTCAGGTGTTGATATGGTCAGGTGTTGATATGGACAGATGTTGATATGGTCAGGTGTTGATATGGTCAGGTGTTGATATGGTCAGGTATTTATAAAGCCAGTTGTTGAGACGGCCAGGTGTTGATTTGGTCAGGTGTTGATATGGTTAGGTTTTGATATGGTCAGGTATCGATATGGCCACGTGTTGATATGGTCAGGTGTTCATCTGGTCAGGTGTTGATATAGCCAGGTCGTGATATGGCTAGGTGTTGATATGGTCAGGTGTTGATATGGTCAGGTGTTGATATGGTCAGGTATTTATAAAGCCAGTTGTTGAGACGGCCAGGTGTTGATTTGGTCAGGTGTTGATATGGTTAGGTTTTGATATGGTCAGGTATCGATATGGCCACGTGTTGATATGGTCAGGTGTTCATCTGGTCAGGTGTTGATATAGCCAGGTCGTGATATGGCTAGGTGTTGATATGGTCAGGTGTTGATATGGTCAGGTGTTGATATTGGCAGGTGTTGATATGGTCAGGTGTTGATATGGTTAGGTTTTGATATGGTCAGGTGTTGATATTATATATTGTGGAAATGAGCAGATGTGGATAACGACAGGCAAGCAAATGGTCAAATGGTGATATGGGCGAGTGAAAATATTTCATATGAGGATATTAACAGGCCTGAATAAAGTAAACTTACAGTTACTGGTGTAGGGCTTTATCGATGTGTCACTGTGAACCTATCGATTTTATATAATACTAGCAATATGAGGGTCTAGTACGAAACGTCATTGTCAATGAATAATAAGGGTAGGATAATAAGGGATTTATTTAGGTGGCTTAACTGTACTTACATTTTTCAGAGCAGACAAAAAAACTTAACAAATAAATTTTTATACACTGTGTCCTGGGCTGCAACAGATGTCACGTGATTTGCATAACTAGGGCAACGTATTTAAATTTTTACTTGTTAATTATCTCGTTAGTGTATGTAAAACGAAACGGATAATATATTCCACAAAAATTCCCTCTCCTGATAAATGATCAAATTTATGTACGTTACGATTTTCTGTTGAAAAAATTTGTTTTAATGTATACTGCTCTGGCTTCTGTGAAAAACCTTTCTGTTAAAGACCATTATCTGTGTGTTAAGTAATCATCATAAACCCGGCATTACCAACCCAAACCACAACCAACCAAAACCAAAACAACAAAACGCAAAAATAACGCCAACATAATTACAAATACAAACGAAAACAAAATCTAACAACAAACCCAACCACAACCACAAAAACCAATACAAACACAAAGAAAAAACAAACAAAAAAGCAAACGAAAACAAAAACCTAACAACAAACCCAACCACAACCACAAACACCAATAGGAACACAAAGAAAAAAACAAACGAAAAAGCAAACGAAAACAAACCAAACTCAAACGCTAAACCTACCAAAAACACAAACACAAACCCAAAAAAAACACAAACGAAAAAGCAAACGAAAACAAACCAAATCCAAACGCAAAACCAACCACTAACACAAATACAAACACAAACCCAAAGAAAAAAACACAAACGAAAGCGAAAAAAGAAAGAACAAAAACGAACCAAATCAAAACGCAACCACTAACGCAAACCCAACCTAAACACAAAGAAAACACAAACGCGAACATAAACGCAAAGTGCTCACAGTCTAGCCCGGGGCAGAATCGCCTGTTTCAGCTTAATAAACGACTATAGTACCTCAACTTATTCAGTCTTTTGCACTCACTTAAACGAACGTAGGTGCCAAACCAAACCAAATAAACAATTATAAAACTCCAAGCTTATCCGTAAAATACCTACAACATTTGCACTTGATCAATCACCGCTAATTATGTAATTATTTTTTTTTCCCAACACCAAAATCAAGTAATAAAAAGTAAATTCTTTTCCACTAATGCAATGGTTTATAAAGGGAAGTAATTGTGTTTTCCTAATTTATCAAAGGGAAGTAAGTGTTAAAGGACTAAATATAAATAATTTTCAGACATAATTAGAGTTTTTGTAAAAGATGATAATTTTTTTAAAATTGTGTTTAATGAACATGCCGACAATTATTACAATCAGTTTGAAAAATGGAAATTATATCCCAACACTTTCAATAGTAATTTTTTCTCATAAATTTAGACTATGAGCACGATAATAATCTAACACTTAAATCCATAGAAGTATGTCAACGACAAACTTATTACACGTTACATACAGAATTGAGCTTTATTTATTAGATATATATATGAAATACAGCGTAAAGTTTTTACTTCTTGTAAAGAGAGTATAGAGGAAGTATTGTAATAGGCACAAAAATAAAAAATAAATGTTTACAGTTTTCACCGATTTACTTTTAATTTTTCATCATATGCGGAAACATTTTTAAAAATTGTAATTTAGATATATCTAAATCTGGGTGAGGTACGCATCAGCGAATTGGAAAAAAAACTGGAATTTCCTATTTGCATGTATGTCTGTGTGTGTCTGAGTATCTGGCGGTGACCACGTTAACTTGATTATCGTTACAGCTAGGTTGACGAAACTTATTTTACTTTTTTCAAAATCCCATGACTTAAGTATTTGTTCAGTTAGATACACAAAATTTCACATATATGTAGAAGATCTATTTTTCGATCAGACACATTTTGAGTAATTTCCGGTGACAGGAAGTACTACTTTAATCTATTTCCGATTTCTCAATAAACGCATATGAATGTATTGAAAAATGGATTCTTCTCTCTTTCTTGATAAAGTACTAATATTCCGCACAATAACACACATATTATTTGCTGTTTGATTGGTGCACTATTATTTTATTTATGAGATTCCACTCTATTAAAAAAAAATTAAGTATTTGTAAAAAATATCCCAACTGCACTTAGTGTTACAGACCTTTATGACATGTGTTGTGAAGTGAATTAATGCGTGTTTCTGTGGTGAATGTCAGTTTTAGTGTGTGACATGTGGCGCTAAAGTTTTAGATCGTAAACTGCGTGTTGGTGAGATGTGTATTGAACAACAAAAAAAAACCGAGGATTGAATTATTTTTCTGTTATCTCCTTTTCTATCTAAATGTAAATGTAAATACAAATACAAAAGTAATGTAAATGTCGATGTCAATGCACATGCTGAAGCAAATGTAAATGAATAAAAGGTAACGTGAAGTAAGTTGAAAGAGATAAGGCGAACCGATGTGAGGTAAGGTCAGGTGAGGAAATGGTAACTTGAGGTGAAGTAAGGTAAGGTAAGGTAAGGTAAGGTAAGGTAAGGTAAGGTAAGGTAAGGTAAGGTAAGGTAAGGTAAGGTAAGGTAAGGTAAGGTAAGGTAAGCTAAGCTAAGGTAAGGTAAGGTAAGGTAAGGTAAGGTAAGGTAAGGTAAGGTAAGGTAAGGTAAGGTAAGGTAAGGTAAGGTAAGGTAAGGTAAGGTAAGGTAAGGTAAGGTAAGGTAAGGTAAGGTAAGGTAAGGTAAGGTAAGGTAAGGTAAGGTAAGGTAAGGTAAGGTAAGGTAAGGTAAGGTAAGGTAAGGTAAGGTAAGGTAAGGTAAGGTTAGGTTAGGTTAGGTTAGGTTAGGTTAGGTTAGGTTAGGTTAGGTTAGGTTAGGTTAGGTTAGGTTAGGTTAGGTTAGGTTAGGTTAGGTTAGGTTAGGTTAGGTTAGGTTAGGTGTAGGTTAGGTTAGGTTAGGTTAGGTTAGGTTAGGTTAGGTTAGGTTAGGTTAGGTTAGGTGTAAGGTTTAGTGTTAGTTAGGTTAGGTTAGGTTAGGTTAGGAGGTAAGGTAAGGTAAGGTGAGGTAGGTGTTTTGAGGTGAAGTTTTGTGGGTGTGGTAGGGTTGGGAGATTAGGTGAAGATATGTGAGATATTATTTTAAGTGAGGTGTTTTGAGGTGAAGTTTTGTGGGTTGTGGTGAGGGTTGGGAGATTAGGTGAAGATATGTGAGATTAAGATACGTCAGAACGGATTAAACGTTTATCACAGTTAATCAGGGTTCATTAAGGTCGATCTAGGTAGACTAAGCTCAATGTGGGTGTACTAAGTTACTTCAGACTAGGAAAGATTAGGCGACATTCGATTCGACAATATGGCAGATTAGGGAAAATAAACGGACATTATTGTAGAGTAAGATTTATATATATATATATATATATATATATATATATATATATATATATATATATATATATATATATATATATATATATATATATATATATATATATATATATATATATATATATATATATATATCGAGCGTTTGTTAAAAGAACCATTGAACGAAAATCAATATTCACTAATTTAAGCTGTAATGGCTAGGCTTACTGAACTAATGAAACTTATCCACACAATCTGCCCGCAGCTTTATATAACCAGGACTCACACTCTATCACTCACTAAAGGCTCGCTTGACATATATGGTAGTGTGACAGCTACTTAACGATACACACGTCACACCAAGTTCGACTGATAGTACGTTTTGTTTTCCTTACAGAAGATGCTCACGATGACGCCTGTACTGTTTGTAGTGATGATTCCAGCTCTAGTGTTGGCCCAGAAAGAGGCTAGCCAAGCCAATGAGATTTTCAATGTACTTGACACTGACGACAGTGGTGACCTCAGCGTTCTGGAGTTACAGGATTCGTTTGTCGTGAGTACATGTCATCCAAAGCCAGAGTTTCTTCAAGGCATCTCTTCGGGGATTCCCCCCCTCCCCCCCCCCCTCCCGCGCGGATCCCGAAAAAAGTCTACCCCCTCCCCACTAGAACGAAATGAAATTTATATAGAAAATATATACTTTTAACAGTGTCCCCCTCCCCCACCCGAAAAGTCTACCGCCCCCCCCCCCCCTCCGAAAATTTCAAGTGTTTCCCCCCCCCCCCTTATGTAAAAACTCTGAAAGAAACACTGTTCATAGCCTGTGAGGTCTGTGTTAATACATGTAAATTCTGTTTGGTAGTGTGAATGTTTAGTTAACATATCTAAATGTTGTCTTGTGTGATTAATTTTTTCTATAATTCTTTTATATCCATGAGGTGTTGATTTGTATGAAATTTGTGTTGATATATCTAGATTCTGTTGTGCTATTGCATATTTATTTCATATATCTGGATTGATTCTGTTGGTTGTTATGAATATTTAGCTTATATAATCAGATTGATTCTGTAGGTTGGTGTGAATGTTTAACATATATAATAGGTATCTATGAAGGTTTAATTGAGATATCCAGGCTTTTAAAAGTTTTGTTCGTTATTATTAAGTTTATTAATTCCATTTTTTTATCTTGCAAAAAGATACAATTTTTATTATATATAGAGGGAGTTTCATGGGTAAACAAAAACAATCTGTTTTACCTTAAAACAAAAGATACAGAATATTAGTAATAATATTTCTGATTTTTTGAACTACTTAGTAAAAAAAACCAATATAATCTATTGATAACACGATAATTTAGTCTTTTAAAGGTAATTATTGGAAAAAAGTTTTTAATTTTGCTTTGTCTAGCATTTTCTGAAATTGTACTAACGCAACTTCAGAATATTTTTAAAATCGTTTTATGAACATTTGAAATATTACGTTATCTAAGTAAAAAAATGTTTACGCAAAATCGGACCAGATATTGTATTGTGTATACATATCAAACAACCACACTTCTCACTGGTAACCTGTTCTACTGTGCAGAAATATGACTCTGATGTAGATGGCGATGTTACCTGGGAAGAGTACTATACCTTCATCGTGAGTCAGGACCCGAGCCTTGAGTACAGCCTCAAGTTTTTGTTCGACGTCTACGATTTCAATGTTGACGGGCATCTGAATCTGAAGGACTATAAGCATTTGCACGCCGCCATTGACGTAAACAAAGATGGGCTGGACGACAGAGAAGAATTTATCAAGGGATGGCGTGGTCAAGTGGTAGAGTACTTTGACTGTTAGTCATGAATGCCGTTAGTATCGTCTATGTAAAGCTGTGTATTTGCAATTTTGAGATTTTGATTTCTTAATATCTTGAATCTCAAAAGAAGCTTCCTAATTTAGTGTAGTAATGCTGTTCATTAATATCTTGTAACCTTTGTTAAGTTGTATAAACTTATACTCCAAAGATGGGATAAAGAACTGTTCATTTATACATTGTATACTATTTAAACATGTATAAACTTATACTCCACAGATGGGATGAAGATCTGTTCACAGCTGCTGACGCCCTGCCCAAGATTGATTAGTGTAAAAAATACGAATTTCTGAACAGTCTGTTGTATTATATATATATATATATATATATATATATATATATATATATATATATATATATATATATATATATATATAATATATAACATCGATAAATAAATAAAAAACATTAAAAAGTGAGAAGCAATTTTTTTTAAATTTTGTGTTATACTCATTTTGTGACATTTCTTTGATTCCTTTGACGAATACCTCAGTTGTCCAAAGATTTATATTACCAGATTTTACGCCGTTAGACATTTAATTTATTATCTATTTAAAATTTTACTTTGTATATAAATGAAAGTACAATTTTGAAAACATAAATTAATGGACTCTTACAAGTGCTTTAATTACTTGCACAAAAAAAAATCATCATAATAATTTTCTTTTAAATTTTGTTTATAGTAGGACTATAATGTTAGTCGGTCTATCAAAAGAAAAAAAATACAATCACAGTGGCAGAGGAACGAAATGGATCGCGTAGAATTATTAGATCATCTATTGTGCCCCATACATTGTGATTTGTGGGATGAGGTTGATATTGTTAGTCACAAGAAAACTATTTAATAATATTTTGTTTAGTAATACAGCTTTACTTTTTTTAGTATTTGCATAGAGGTGTTCAGTTATGGGAAAACGTGAAACAGTCTTATAGAATACATTAGTCAAACCATCGTGTCGTGTGTATCGAATTAACTGAAAGAATTTAACATTAAAGTTCTTTAAATCTCCAGGCAAATACTTGTCTGTTTTAAAGATCTCATAGTATACGTTTAAATATAAAACTACTAGCGTACCCGTCCCCGCGCGTTGCCGAAGGAATAGAAGTAAGGCTGACGTGTTATATAAGACGGGTTTCATCAACGCGTTACCAATCCTATGTTCTTAGACGCGTGACCATGTTTTCTAAAATTCAGTTATTAAAATGTAAACAATGCCTGAGCTTGGATCATAAATATCGCGACACTGGTTTACGTCGTTTTTTAAGAAATCGGAAATAGCGTAAAGAACTTCTTCCGGTCACTGGGAGGTACTCAAAATTTGAAAGAAATTAGATAGTTTGAACTTATACTGATTTGGTAAAAATTATATCTGAAACAGTATTTAAGTTATTGGATTTAAAAAAAAATTAGTAGAAACATGCCCACTTCCTGTTACCGGAAACGTTGATACAGAATATCAAATTTGATCAACCTAGCTGTAGCGGTATCGTATTTACAGACAAACGCACATACGGACACAGACACACATACACACACACAACCAAGTTTTCCCGACTAAGGGAGATGTAAGACGTCGAGATTTTTGAAAATTTCGATTTCGATTTTTTTTTGCACGATCAATATATTTCCTGTATACTTCGAATACGAGAAAGTAAAATAATGATTTTTTTTACAGCACCAACAACCTTGTACTGAAGAACTGGTTATTTAACAAAAAACTAGATGCAGTCCCTTTAAACATTGTCAACTAGAGTAGTTTTATTTCATTTTTTGTGTATATAACCCACATTCTCTACAGAGATTTTAAGTATTTAAAAGACCCACAGGGTGATACTTGCTAAATTACGAGATGTCTGTAAACGTGACCTGAGGGGAACAGATACAAGCAGAGGCGTAGCGACCCTTTCCGGCGCCCGGGGACAAACTTTTCGATTTGCACCCCCCTCAAGATTTCGATTTGCACCCCCCTCAAACTTTCGATTTGCACCCCCCTCGACCTTTCAATTTATTTTTCCAACCCATTTTGGCGCCCTCTAAGGTCGGCGCCCGGGGACATATGTCCGTCCCCCCCCCCCTCGCTACGCTACTGGATACAAGTCACCCGCATGCTCACGTTGGAGCAACTGGTTCAAAACAAAATATTCTGGAGATAGGCTGTGATGACCAGCATCCTCATCGCTGAAGGAATAAGGGTCGGGGTAGTCTCTGAGAGGTGAAAATGGAAAAACACGGCACAAATTGTAACAAACATAAAGGGATATAAAGAAAAACCACTGTACAAATTCTACCAAACATAATGGGATATAAAGAAAAACCACTGTACAAATTCTACCAACCTTAATGGGATATAAAGAAAAACCACTGCACAAATTCTACAATGGGTCCGCAAAAATTGTGGTAAGATTGTTTTTCTAGAGTTGGCTAGTTCAGCTATAACAAAGCCTGCACTAGAGAAAATAAAATCTTTATCACTTGGAGAAAAATTCCACTGTCTCACGAGGCAACAGCAGCCTGATATATGTTACGGTCAAAGCCCGAATGCGGCCAAAGCCGTCATCGGCCGGCCAATGTGCGCATTAGCCGGCTCTCTTGGCCAAAGCCAAAAAAATTAGCACTAAGAGCGTATTTCATACATTGGCCGGCCAATGTGCGCACTGCCCGGGACGTACTTGCCAAGTCTGAAACGCTTATCCTCGACAGCATATTTTATACATTGGCTGGCCAATGCGCGCACTGGCCGGGACGTACTGGCCAAAGTCCTATCTAGACTAAGTTGTGATCGCGTTTTCATTATTCTGGGTACGGTGGCATTGTGAGTAACGTATTGTTTGGCTTTTGTTTGTATGGCATTTTATATGCACTGCGACATGGACCAAAGGACCGTCAGATCAAAGACAGACATACCAGATGGCTGCTAAAATAAATTATCCAAATTCTAATGGAAAATAATTTATGGATCAAGTTATTTTTGAACTAAAGAACATAGGGCATGAACTTAAACTAGTTCACAGAAAACCTAGGCGTATTGTAATCGTGTACAAAAATCGCATGAAATTTTTACAGTTTTCCGGTGCGGTGCGGTGCGGTAAGGTAAGGCAAGGCAAGGCAAGGCAAGGCAAGGTAAGGTAAGGTAAGGTAAGGTAAGGTAAGGTAAGGTAAGGTAAGGTAAGGTAAGGTAAGGTAAGGTAAGGTAAGGTAAGGTAAGGTAAGGTAAGGTAAGGTAAGGTAAGGTAAGGTAAGGTAAGGTAAGGTAAGGTAAGGTAAGGTAAGGTAAGGTAAGGTAAGGTAAGGTAAGGTAAGGTAAGGTAAGGTAAGGTAAGGTAAGGTAAGGTAAGGTAAGGTAAGGTAAGGTAAGGTAAGGTAAGGTAAGGTAAGGTAAGGTAAAGTGAGGTAAAGTGAGGTAAAGTGAGGTAAAGTGAGGTAAAGTAAGGTAAAGTAAGGTAAAGTAAGGTAAAGTAAGGTAAAGTAAGGTAAGGTAAGGTAAGGTAAGGTAAGGTAAGGTAAGGTAAGGTAAGGTAAGGTAAGGTAAGGTAAGGTAAGGTAAGGTAAGGTAAGGTAAGGTAAGGTAAGGTAAGGTAAGGTAAGGTAAGGTAAGGTAAGGTAAGGTAAGGTAAGGTAAGGTAAGGTAAGGTAAGGTAAGGTAAGGTAAGGTAAGGTAAGGTAAGGTAAAGTGAGGTAAAGTGAGGTAAAGTAAGGTAAAGTAAGGTAAGGTAAGGTAAGGTAAGGTAAGGTAAGGTAAGGTAAGGTAAGGTAAGGTAAGGTAAGGTAAGGTAAGGTAAGGTAAGGTAAGGTAAGGTAAGGTAAGGTAAGGTAAGGTAAGGTAAGGTAAGGTAAGGTAAGGTAAGGTAAGGTAAGGTAAGGTAAGGTAAGGAAAGTGAAGGTAAGTGAGGTAAGGTATAGGTAAGTAAGGTAAGGTAAGGTAAAGGTAGGTAAAGAGTAAGTGACGGTAAGGTGAGGTTAATGTAAGGTAAGGTAGAGGTAAGGTAGTAGGTAAAGTAGGTAAGGGAAAGGTAAGGTAAGGTAAGGTAAGGTAAGGTAAGGGTAAGTAAGGTAAGGTAAGGTAAGGTAAGGTAAGGTAAGGTAAGGTAAGGTAAGGTAAGGTAAGGTAAGGTAAGGTAAGGTAAGGTAAGGTAAGGTAAGGTAAGGTAAGGTAAGGTAAGGTAAAGTGAGGTAAAGTGAGGTAAAGTAAGGTAAAGTAAGGTAAGGTAAGGTAAGGTAAGGTAAGGTAAGGTAAGGTAAGGTAAGGTAAGGTAAGGTAAGGTAAGGTAAGGTAAGGTAAGGTAAGGTAAGGTAAGGTAAGGTAAGGTAAGGTAAGGTAAGGTAAGGTAAGGTAAGGTAAGGTAAGGTAAGGTAAGGTAAGGTAAGGTAAGGTAAGGTAAGGTAAGGTAAGGTAAGGTAAGGTAAGGTAAGGTAAGGTAAGGTAAGGTAAGGTAAGGTAAGGTAAGGTAAGGTAACGTAAGGTGAGGTGAGGTGAGGTGAGGTGAGGTAAGGTGAGGTGAGGTGAGGTGAGGTGAGGGTTGGGAGATTAGGTGAAGCTATGTGAGATTAAGATACGTCAGAACGGATTTAATGTTTATCACAGTTATTCAGGGTTCATTAAGGTCGATCTAGGTAGACTATGCTCAAAGTGGGTGTACTAAATTACTTCAGACGAGGAAAGATTATGCGACATTCGATTCAACCATATCATGGTAAATTACGGAAAATAAACGGACATTGTTGTAGATTATAATTTATGTAGGCCTATATATATATATATATATATATATATATATATATATATATATATATATATATATATATATATATATATATATATACATATATATATATATATATATATATATATATATATATATATATATATATATATATATATATATATATCGAGCGTTTGCTAAAAGAAACATCAAACGAAAATCAATATTCACTATAATCACGGCTTACTTAACTAATGAAACTTAACCACACAATCTGCCCCCAGCTGTGTATGACAAAGACTCAATCCTGCACTCACTACATCCTCGCTTGACATATATGGTAGTGTGACAGCTACATAACGATACACACGTCACACCAAGTTCGACTGATAAAACGTTTTGTTTTCCTTACAGAAGATGCTCACGCTGAAGCCTGTACTGTTGGTGATGCTGATCCCAGCATTGGTGCTGGCCCAGGACGAGGCTAGCAAAGGCAATGAGATTTTCAATGAACTGGACACAGACGCCAGTGGTGACCTCAGCGTTCTGGAGTTACAGGCTGCGTTTGACGTGAGTACACATCATCCATAGCCAGATTTTCTTCCAGGCATCTCTTCGGGGGAGCCCCCCCCCCCCTCCCCCCTCGCGGATCCCGAAGAAAGTCTACCCCCTACCCACTAGAACGAAATGAAATTTATATAGAAAATATAAACTTTTAACAGAGCCCCCCCCCCCCCCGAAAAAAGTCTACCCCCCTGAAAATTTCAAGTGCCCAACCCCCCCCCCCCCATTCCCTGAGAAAAAAGTCTGGAAGAAACACTGTCTATTGCCTGTGAGGTCTGTGTTCATAAATGTAGCTTTTGTTTGGTATTGTGAATGATTAGTTAACATATCTAAATGTTGTCTTGTGTGATTAACTTTTTCTATAATTGTTTTTATATCCAAGCGCTGTTGGTTTGTATGAAATTTGTGTTGATATATCTGGATTCTCTTGCTTTATTGAACATTTATTATATATATCTGGATTGATTCTGTTGGTTGTTGTGAATGTTTAGGTTATATAATGAGATTGATTCTGTTGGTTGGTTTGAATGTTAAGCTTAAGTAATCAGATTTATTCTGTAGGTTAGTTTGAATGGTGTGAATGTTTAACATATATTATAGTATTAATACCTTAGGTGAGAATGAAGGTTTATTTGAGATATCCAGGCTTTTAAAAGTTTTGTTAGGTTATTATTAAATTTTATTCATGTCTTTTTTATCTTGCAAAAAGATACAATTTTACTAATCTATTGACAATTCGATAATTTAGTCTTTAAAAGATAAGTATTGGAAAAAAAATTTCATTTTATTTTGTCTAGCATATTCTGAAATTGTACTATCGCAACTTCGAATATTTTAAAAATCAATTTATGAATCTTTGAAAATTTTCCTAATCTATGTAAATAAATGTTTACGCAAAATCGGACCAGATATTGTATTGTGTATACAAATCAACCAACCACACATCTCACTGGTAACCTGTTGTATTGTGCAGAAATATGACTTTGATGTAAATGGCAATGTTACCTGGGAAGAGTACTTGAACTACATCGTGAGTCAGGACCCGAAACTTGAGTACAGCCTCAGGTATTTGTTCGACGTCTACGATTTCAACGGTGACTGGATTCTGAATCTGGATGACTATAAGCATTTGCACGCCGCCATTGACGTAAACCGAGATGGGCAGGACAACAGACAAGAATTTATCACGTGAGGATTTGGGTTGTAATGTAGTTTATATTGTACCAACTAAGGGATGGCATGGTCGACTGGTAGAGTACTTTGAATGTTAGTCATGAATGCCATTAGTATCATCTACGTAAGGCTTTGTATTTGCCTTTTTGATATTGTGGTTGCTAAATATCTTTAAACTCTAAAGGAGCTTCCTAATTTAGTGTAGTACTGCTATACATCAATATCTTGTAATCTTTGTTAAGTTGTATAAACTTATACTCCAAAGATGGGATAAAGAACTGTACATTTATACCTTGTATACTATTTAAACTTGTAAAAATGTATACTCCACAGATGGGCTGAACAGCAGTACATTTATATTATGTCCTTCCATATTTAAACTTGTATAAACTTATAATCCACAGATGGGATGAAGAACTGTACATCAATACCTTGATAACTAACTTGTATAAACTTATACTCCAAATATAAAATGAAGAGCTGTACCATATTAAAACTTGTATAAACTTATACTCCACAGATGGAGTAAAGACCTTTTCACAGCTGCCGACGCCCTGCCCAAGAGTGTTTAGTGTAAAAAATACGAATGTATATATATATATATATATATATATATATATATATATATATATATATATATATATATATATCGAATATATAACATCGATGGATTAAAAAAAAGTGTGAAGCAATTTGTTTTTAATTTTGTGTTTTCTTGACATTTTTTCGATCTCTTTGACGCCTACCTTACTTGTCCAAACATTACTTTTACCAGATATTACGCCGTTAGACAATTAATTTATTATCTATTATAGATTTTACTTTGTATATAAATGAAAGTACAATTTCGTAAACATAAATTAATAGACTCTTACAAGTGCTTTAATTACTTGCACATATAAAATCATCAGAAAAATATTCTTTTAAAATATGTTTATAGTAGGACTATAATGTTAGTCGGTCTATCAAAAAAAAAAATTAATCACAGTGGCAGAGGAACGAAATGGATCGCGTAAAATTATTAAATCATCTATTGTGCCCAATTCATTCAGAGTTATGGGAAGAGGTTGATATTGTTAATCAAACGAAAAATTGTATTTATTAATCTTTTATTTACTAATGCAGCTTTAATTTTTTTAGTATTTGCATTTAGTTGTTCAGTCATTGGAAAACTTCAAACCGTCTTAAAGAGCACATAAGTCACACAATCATGTTGTGTGTATTCGAATCAACTGATTGAACCTTTAAATTCTATAAAAATTCAGGCGAATATTTGTGTGTTTAAAAGATCTTATAATATACGTTTAAATATAAAACTATGGGGGTTGGCAACTCGGGATAAAGACATGATTTTTATCAATTTTTAAATTTTTTAAACTTTTAAAAATAGAATAGGATCTCGAAAAAAAAAATAACATCATTATCTCTGGGCTAACATGCAAAAGCAGCCTTATATATATATATATATATATATATATATATATATATATATATAAATATATATATATATATATATATATATATATATATATATATATATATATATATATATATATATATATATATATAAATATAAATATATATATATATATATATATATATATATACAGCATAATTTACAGTTGCAATGCATCGTCATATAGTAAACAAAGTCGAGTATTTCTGCATAAATCAATAGTCTAAATTTAACCGGTTTGTAACCTGATCTAAAACTGTCAATTTTTCTATTCGAAACACTTTATAATTAACTAGAGTTGTGTCAGGTACCCACTAGAGTTGTGTCAGGTACCCACTAGAGTTGTGTCAGATACCCACTAGAGGTGTGTCAAATACCCACTAGAGATGTGTCAGGTACCCACTAGAGATGTGTCAGGTACCCACTAGAGTTGTGTCAGGTACCCACTAGAGTTGTATCAGGCACCCACTAGAGTTGTATCAGGTACCCACTAGAGTTGTGTCAGGTACCCACTAGAGTTGTGTCAGGTACCCACTAGACTTGTGTCAGGTACCCATTAGAGTTGTGTCAGGTACCCACTAGAGTTGTATCAGGTACCCACTAGACTTGTGTCAGGTACCCACTAGAGGTGTGTCAAGTACCCATAGAGGTGTGTCAAGAGACCAATTTGTGTTGTGTCAAGTACTAAAATACCTACAATAACATTGTCAAATACATACTACAGATTTGTCAAGTATATACAAGTGTAAGGAGCCCATTAGAGTTGAGTCAGGAATCTAGTAAGAATATGTCTAAAATAGAAATCTAATGCATAAGAGTCCAACATAGAAGAGTTTAGTATTGAGATGGTTACTAAAGAAGTCTCTTATATAGAGCAGCCTAAGATGAGTCTTATTTAGTCAAGTATTGAATAGTGCAATAAAAAGAAGTTAGTATAAAATGTCTAATTTAGACAATATCTAATAAATTTTAACCTATATTTTAGAGAAGTCTAGAGTATATACTAATCTAAATATAGAAAAAATCTAGTACAGTACCAAAAAGTTTGTAAATGAACCGAAAATCATCAAACGTTGTTGTTGAGATTGAACCGTTTGATCTTTATTTGATTATCTTGCATGTGCATTCAGCGTAGCTTTACAAAGTTCTGAAATCTATGTAGCGGAAGTATTGCACCCTTTGACCATTTACTGTTGTAACAATCAATATGTATAACGTTTAATGAAGGGAGGCATAGACAAGAACATCGTTCGTGTACGAGAGGCAGATGAAAATCATTCAATTGATCAAAGGTTTAAATCATCGCAGGGTGAGTCGATACGGATGTGGGGGCTAACCGAGGGGGTTATAAACACACACACACATACACACACACACGCACACACACACACGCACACGCACACACACACACACACACACGCACGCACGCACGCACGCACGCACACACACACACACAAGCACGCTCGCACGCACGCACGCACGCACGCACACACACACACACACACAGACACACACACACACACACACATTCACACACACACATACACACACACAATTCTCACACGTCCCACAAAGACGCACAAAAGCCCCAACACATGCATATACGTACTACTTCCACACACAATGCACGCTCACATACACAAACATACACACATTTGTGCACCAGATGTATAGAGGGATAAGGTATTGTTTAGAGCAGTTGGTTTCTAAACTACGGCCCGCGGGCCACATGCGGCCCGTGGAGATATTTTTCTCCACGGAAAAATGTTTGTTGAAGGTGGCTGAGGAATTAGGCAAGAAAATTAAAAACAATTTGAAAATGTAGCTTTGGGTGCAATTACAATTCTCCGCGGCATATTAGACATTGTTGAAAACATTGTGACTCAAATAGCGAAGAATACACGCAAGTTTCGCCTTTTTTCAATTGCAATGGCTGAGTCCCTGTAAGCTGCTTCATCTCACAACTGCTTGTATTAATTAGAGTTGTGGATGAAGACATGAACATAACACAAGAGCTGGCTTCCCTACATTACATGTATGGCACTGTTACCAGATGGGATATATTCAATGAATTAAAACAAAACATTTGCTGATTTTAACTTGTATAGACCTGACAATTGATGGAGTTATAAAGAAATTCTTTGTTGGACAAGCGAATGAGAAAAACATTCTACAACCAATGTTCCTGCACTGTATTATTCACCAGAAAACTTTGTGTGCTAAATAGATTGACATTAGCAGTGTAATGAATCCTGTGCTGAAGGTGGTCACATGGGCTCAACCATAAATAGTCCAGAGGCATGTTAAAAGATACAAACACAAAATCGCAAAATTTACCATATTACACAGCAGTAAGATGACTAAGTTGTGAGAAAGTTCTAAGCAGATTGTTTAAATTAAGAAAAGAAATAGGTAACTCCCTGGAAAGTAAAGGCAAGCCACAGCCAAAAATGTCTGGTGAAGGATGGGTATAGAAATTGGCCTCTGATGAAGACATTACTACTCATTTAAATTTTCTGAACCTAAAACTACAAGGGAGGGAAATCTAGTTTCTTACCTATACATCCACGTAAAGACCTTAGATCCAAACTTATGTTTTTCGAACAATTACAGGTCAACAAATTGACGAACTTTCAGTAGTGCAAGCTCTTCTTGGCTGAAGCAACAGATGAGTCAGTTGCATGCAAAATAATCAAGGACCTCCAGGTGCAGTTTCAGTAGCGGTTTCCTGACTTGAATTCCAAGTAAGAAGAAATGAGACTGTTTTAAAACCCATTTGAAGCAAATGTAACCAGTTGCCCAGATGAACTGCAGCTGGAGGTCATTGAATTGCAAGCAAACGACCTCCTTAGTGACAAGTTCAAAGCAGTTGGGTGGGTTTTTATAAGTTTTTACATATGTAAGACTTTCCTGACATTAAAACAACATACCTGTGTGAACAAACATTTTTAAGAATGAAATATGTGAAGAACAATTCGAGAACAAACTTGGACCTTGAGTGTGTTGTCGGCCCCCGACACTGTTTATTTCAGGCTAATTTCTTCTGGAGGGGGGACATTTTAAATGTGTATATAATTCTATATAAATTATATTTTCTTCGGGAGGTGGGGGGGGGGGGGGTGGGCGGTAGACATTCTTCGGTGGGGGAGAGGGAGAGGCTCGGCCACTCCGAAGAGATTCCTTCAAGTAGCTCCGGCCCCCGAACTGATATTTGATAGTTAATGCGGCCCTCGGGCCGAAAAGTTTGATGACCCTTGGTTTAGAAGTCGATGATCATCGTATTGATACTCTTTTATGAACTTTGTTATTATTCGCAATGGCGTTGCAAGGGGAAGCAAACTAATTAGCTGCTATGCAGCGCCCTAAGACAGGGGATCATATATTAGCTGCAGCATCATATGTTAAAACAGTATTGTTTATTGCATATAAAAGAATGGTTTACCTCGGGCTGTGTTTAATGTAAATTAGGAGTATTTGCTGTACTTAGTAGTTTTATCTAAGTAATAATTATCATTAAAAAGGTTTTTAAAAACCCACGTTTTCTGATTGAACTAAAAAGTAGAAAATAAATGCTATACATCACAATAATGCAAGCGATCACTCTACTATAAGCGATATATATATATATATATATATATATATATATATATATATATATATATATATATATATATATATATATATACACATGTGTGTATGAATTTGTGTGTGTATGTGTTGTGTTCTATTAGAAGTACTACGTTTAAAGTTGAAAGCTCTGTCCTGTGTTTTAATATCTTTTGCGCCTGTTCGCTGCTTAATTAGTTATTTAATCAGACACGACCATGTTCAAAAGAATAAATTTGTTTCAAAAATGCAAGAGTGCACTGATGTAAAATTTATAAGGAGTTAAACCAGTACTACGTTTTGTTTCAAGAGTAACAGTGTATTATATCGAAACATATGTTGCACACGTATCCTGCCCGGCCCCATGGTGGGTGTACAGTTGCCATTAACCTCTTCAGACTAAAATTTTATTGGCTTTACTGCTGACCATATGTCAGTCTTTGCCTATTTATTTATTTATTTATTTATTTATTTATTCATTCATTCATTCATTCATTCATTCATTCATTCATTCATTCAT